TCCTGGTGAATCGGATGCCGGCGAACACACTGTTGGTTCCGAGTATTTTCCAAGATGTTCACTGTTCGTTACTTCGTGCGTTTCCTCCCATTTGGAAAGCTTGAGGATAACGAAGGTGTTGTCTACGTATCGTACCCAAAGTTTTGGTCTCGCGGTCAGAAGTGCTATTTGTTCCAGCGCCTGCATCAATGCCTCGGCCACCAGGCCAGAGATCGGTGATCCCATTATAGTGTGCCTGTTGTCTGCGAGTAAATGTGGTCACTGAAAGTGCACATCCTCTGTTTGGCGTCAACTTTAGTACTTGTATCAGGAGATGTGTATTTCTCCAGCAGGCGCGTCATTGTTTATTTTGCTAAGCTGATTTCGATTGAGGTGAACAAGCATTTGTACCTTGAAGTCGCTCACGAGGCACTGAAAACTAGGCCCTTGAAACCGCACTGATTATGTCGCCTACTTTATTAACGAACCGTCTACAAAAATCATTCAGCTTGGAGCACAGCTCAAAATAAGTAAGGGTTATTCATCCAGAATACAAAAGAGCAAAAGTTAACTCAAAATAAGACAATGAGATGTCGGGTACTGCGAGATAGAACCATTTCGTGTTATCTGATCATCTGCAATCTAATAACACACATATGAATCACGTGATAGAAACAATCGAAAGTTTGAAACTGGTCGCAAATGAAACTTATGCAGACGTGAACAACAGATCAGCGAGGTTCATTCTATGGTTATGAGCCCAAAGGAAGCTTTGGGGAGACTGTTACTTGTTTCTGTACACAAAGAATAGGGCGGCTGGTTAAGCATCGCAGTTTCGGTAAACCTTAATACTTTAGGGTTTTCGTTTCGGTAGATAACTGTAAAAGTTGATCTGATGGCCTGTTTCGATTAGATGTCCGGCAATGGATGATGCCGGCAGTTTAGCTATCCTTTCCGGTTCGGCTGCTTGTTGTGTCGATAGCCTAACAATCCGCTTACCCAAAGTTCGATCTATTCTGCCAGTGAAACAATTTCCGGAGCAACAAACGGATTGGTAAATACGATAGGTTGTAACGGATATCGGTTGAGTAAGTTTCACTGCAGTCGTCCGCAACTTTCTCGTCTCCAAACTAAGGCAGAATTTGGCGGCATCGAATGTCCGGCGAATCGCTGTGTGCAAACGTCCTTCAAGTTATGCGGTCACGACATCATCATTGAAAGGTACTTGAAGGTAGACAGCCAGTTTGGGCACAGTAAGTACCCTCGTTCTGTTTTCCTTCGGTTGCCTGTGAAATCGAATAAACGTCACCGGATATCCATTGACCCATACCGGCTGTGAGATGAACCGCAATTCTAATTAAACAGCGTCTTCACTAACCAACGATTGCATTAGATGGGGGTGAAGCTGTTGAACTTTTCATAGTCCTGTTCCTTTAGCGTTGCTGTAAACCGAACGCTTTATAAAGCCGTCTTCTCGTCTGGTCAAATACACATGCAGTTCAAAGGTGAAACGAGCGTTTGTATGTGCGTTATCAAGCACAGGAAGAAGATACAGAGCAGCGTCTACACATGGGGCGATCACTAGGGTGTCATCGACGCATCGCTTGTATAAACACATTTGTTGAAGTGCGGCTCACATCTCATTTAAACCATCTTTTTAAAGATGTCAGCCAGTATCGGGCAAAGCGGACTTCCCATGGCTACACCATACAACTGTTGGCACGGCTTGTCTGCAAATGAGAAATGTCACTTCTCCGTGCATAGTGTCATCAAGTCCCGAAGATATTCCACGGGAATCGGTAGCATTACTTTCTTATTTCTGCTAAACTCACATAATAAATCCACCGTTTTTCTTAATGGAATGTTACTGAACGAAGCCTGTACCTCGATTAGACACACAGTCAATAAGGTCGAATGCGTCTTCCCCAGTATACTTTGTTACCATTCGTCTCACCGGTGTAAGCAGTGGAGGTGGATGGTCGGTAAACTACGAATACGAGACATGTATGGTCTCCTCACACACATGTTTAAAGATCATCTATGAGCTCACAACGAATGATTGTTTTGTACTAAATGATCACTCCCCTCTAATGCCCGCTCTGTCGTTCCGGAGAAGTGACAGACCGGATACACCTATTTCAGCATCGGCAATTTCATAGCTCAGCCACATTTCGGTGATAAGTATGATATCCCGAGGCCCGGATGCCTGACAATGACGGAGTTCCACCAACTTACTAATAAAACCGTGCACTTTAGCATACAAGCAGGTCGGTTTCTCCTAAACCAGAAGTGAGTTATTGGATGTTGGACTAAGATAGGAGATTGTGCCGACCGTTGAGGAGTCGGCCACTAGCCGATTTTTAAGGAGTCGTTGGCATTTGTAGTTCTGTCAGGTTATATGAATGCTCTCGGCTGTCCTGATGCTGGTGGTCTCCCGTGTTTTGTCTTCTTTCGTCGGATGCTAAGGTTCCCATTAAACCAATCCCTTCACAGAGCTGGAGCAGGGAAAATACACCAAGTTGGTTGGCCTCAATAAGTTGTTAGCCATCCTTGGCCGTGTACCCACTGCTTTTAACCGAATTTCTGTAGACAGCCTCTTACAGAATTTAGACCAATTATCCAATTTAGGCGGTGTTATTAGTTCAAGCTAAAGTATCACCTTCAATAGCCGGGGACCATCCCCCTTGTAGTTGGGTGATACTGAGACGCTTGTCAACCGCTGCAACGACACTGTCGAGAGAGTTCCTGGCGGACGTAATTTTATAGCTGTCGGTCATGTGTCTCTGCTTCCTCAGAGGAGGCTGGTTGAAGCTCAGGAACCCCATGAACAATTATCGTCCGTTTTCCGTCAGGTTTATGAACTTCCTGGTTGCTATTTTCTTCAGAGCGTTTCTTCCAAAGGATCTCGGGAAAAATGCGCGCCTCGTGTGATGAGTTACGGAGCTGACCCAAAGACAGTAGAACAGCCTCTGTGTTAACCGTGGAACTCATTGTCACCCGGAGAAGTCCAGGCTCACTGTGATGTTCTACTATATGGTGACGTGGAACGCGTCTGTGTCATGGACTCAAATGAAATGCCAATTGCACTGCAAATGAAATGCCACTAATTACAGTCAAACCTCAGCTTCCCTTTTAGGGTACTAGACTGCGATTCAGGAAAGCTCGTGCACACGATAGCCAAAGCACGGTGATTTCTTCTATAAGGGGTATTAATGTATATCATTTTAAACGGTTTGGTTGCTTATAGAGGTTATTTCACCTTAATGTTGCTCTGTGCTGCTACCGGAGTCGGTGCTGTTCTCTCCGGCGTTCGCGTGGAGGCACCTGATGTGTACGATACGGGGCTCGCATCTGCCACCACTATTACTGGGGTGCTGTGGGCTGCACCGCTGAAAGGAGTGGAAGCATGCACATTTGAATTTGGTCCGCTTATGGGAGTAAGGTGAGCCAGAGAAGTTACGGACACAGACGCAGCAGTGCGGTTAGAGCTTCTGGCTCTCTTCTTCGGTCTAGAGGCGCAACTTGTTTCGGCTAGTTGAGGTGTTATCATGGCAATATGTACATCCGAAGGAGTAACCTTGGTA